GGACAACCGCTGCAGCCGAATTGGGGCGGATTTCCCGGCTTCGGGCCCGGCACCGCCCCTGAAAACCAGTCTGAGTGAGCTTGCGGCGGCGCATCTCTGACACCTCCCCAGTAGTAATTCTCTCCCACCCCCCCGCCTGGTCCGTCCTCGGAAGCTGTCAGTCACTATTGCTCCCCTTTGATATTTCAGATTAGCTCCCCACAGCGGTCGCCTTATCACCTCTCCTTTGCGACATAAAATACATGAGAACAGACCAGCTCCAGCTTTTTAATGAGGGGGTCGTGAATTGCTTTGGGATTGGAATGCTCTGCAAATAAGGCATCCATCCCTGACTTTGGCGATCCTTTAGGGAGGAGAGATGATGCCACAGTGCTCCAGCACGAGCTTTGCGAAAAGAAGAGGCCAGGTCCAACTCCAGTCCCTGGAATCATCATTTCAAACAGGTTCACATAGCAGGACTGAGGAAAATCTGCCTCTAAGGTCTTCCAGGACTGCTTCCATTGAGACTAAACAGCACTGGCCAGATGGACAGATGTTCAGGAAACATGGAGGACTAAACTATTTATTATTTATTTACTTCATTTATATTTTGCCTTTCTCCCCAGTGGGGAACCAACAGCTGCCTCCTGTCCCCAGCCATTGGTTTCCGGCTCAAAACCACTTTAACCTGGAGTATTTTGTTACCAGGTCCCAAAGTGGTGTTTTCTCAGCTCTCCCGTTTAAAGCTACATTTCCCCCCTGTGTGATCACTCCTCTGGTGTCAAGCCACTTCCGGTTTAAAACCGCTCCCTGCTCGAAAGCTGCCCAAGGCTTCCGCTTTTCGACCGCCTTTTTTTTTAGCATCGGTGGTGCACGCATAGGCGGAGCTCCACTACCGTGTTTAGAAAACTGACATTTAAACGGTCACTTGTTTTAGAGTTTAGATGAGTTCGGGATCTCACGGAGGCCATTTTCGGGTCAAACGTTTAAAGGGAAGTCTTTTGTTGGAGGGGTTGGATTGATTCGCCCTGGTGGTTCTGCGCATGTGCCATGGTAGTTTTGCCCCCCCCCATTCTACGGATGAGTGCCTATGCGCATGCACAAACTGAGAAAAAATTAAACAACCTGCCGACACACGTTCCTGCGCGCCGGTAGTGTAGACGCTGGGGAGTGACATGACTGCACGGTGAGGCGGGATAAGGGACGTAAATGTGATCACAATTATCCAGATCAAATATAATCTGGTTAGAACCTGAGCAATTTAACCCGCTCTCAGCACGCCGTCTGACCGCACCCTGAGAATTTGAATCCTGGTCTCCCAGACCCTAGTCTGACACTCTAACCACTACCCCATGTTGGCTTTCCAACAACATTCACACTGCTTTGGAGCATCATATTGGCAGTGCTGTCAATCCCAGAATCTATGTCTAGTAATTTAATGTGAAGCACTATCCTTGTTATGTACGTGGACCGCCACCAGGGGTCCGCGGCACATGCAGGAGCTTGGCTCCTGGAACAATGGAAACTTTGGATCCTGGTTCCCCCAGCCCCAACCAATAGCCACTTTGGCGGGACATTCAAACCCTCCAATGGGAATAGGGGTGCTGGGTGGATATGTATATAGTTGGCCCTGTCGGGCCATTAGGGTTAGTCTTAGTTGGAGTGAAGTACAATAAACGTGTGCAAAAGCATGTCATCGTCCGAGTCCTCCATACGGCGAACCCAGTACTTTACAGTCCTCATGGGTTTCCTTTCTGAATTCTGGCCTTGTTATACTTTAGAGGAGCTTAAAGGTAAAGCAGTCTCCCTTCATGCCTCTTCAGCAGCCCGCTTACCTCTGCTGAAGAAAGCCTGCCATCATGAGATTCTGTTTTATGATGCAGACTCTGAGAGAAGCAATTCCTGAAATTTAAAAAGAAATAAGTTTGTCTCCTTTCTCCAGTACTTTATAAACCAATAGGTCTGACAGGGGAGCCATGGCCCTTCAAGGTTCCCAGACCAAAGCAACAGAAGTCTCGCTTTCTTCAGATTTCTTTTGAAAAAGACAAGAAAAAGCCAGAAAAAGCATTCAGACAAGGATTCACAGGACAGGTTGAGATGATGCGTATTAAGGTAATTTAGAGGTTGTGGCTAGAATCAGGAGACTACAATTTTAGAAGCTGGAATGTTTCCAGAAGAGGGCAACAAAGATGGTGAGGGGCGTGGAGACCATGTCCTATGAGGAAAGGTTGAAGGAGCTGGGTATGTATAGCCCAGAGAGGAGATGACTGAGAGGTGCTATGATAACCATCTTCAAGTACTTGAAGGGCTGTCATCTAGAGGATGGTGTGGCGTTGTTTTCTTTTGCCCCAGAAGGTTGGACGAGAACCAATGGGTTGAAATTAAATCAGAAGAGTTTTCAGCTAAACATTAGGAAGAACTTCCTGACAGAACGGTTCCCCAGGTAAACAGGCTTCCTTGGAGGGTCATTGGCTCTCCTTTGGAGGTTTTTAAGTAGAGGCTAAATGGCCATCTGACAGCAATGCTGATTCTGTGACTTTAGGCAGATCATGAGAGGGAAGGCAAGGAGGGTTGCATCAGTGCTTAGTCCTCATGGCCCTTTCTTACACACCCAGGGAAATGCCGATTGCCAGTTTGGGGTCAGGAAGCAGTTTTCTCCAGGCCAGTTTGACTAGGGATCCTGGAGGTTTGTTTGTTTGTTGCCATCTTCTGGGCATCGAGCAGGGGTCACTGCGGGTGTTTGGGGTGAGGTAGTTATGAAGTTCCTGGATTGTGCAGGGGACTGGACTAGATGACCCTGGAAGTCCCTTCCAGTTCTATGATTCAGGACCAGACAAAGTCCTCAGCTTCTGAATATATGTACAGCCAGAGTTGGTCAATTCCCAACTAGGCCTTCCAACATGATTCTAGTTGTGTCATTGCCAAAGGAGAATGCCGTTCCTTTTCCTCCCCTTAAAGAGGACATTGCAACAGCAATACAGACAGGGCTGTTCCCGTCAAAGATGCTCTGGCCACAAAGAGTATGTAATCTTTACCATTTCAGGCATCAGCTACAGCATTAAAAGCTGCTTTTACTGACTTCTGTTCTGTCAGAGCTATGCTGTTCTCGATAGGTCACCTAAAACTAGACTCCAGCTCCAGTTATCTTTAAACTTAGCAACCAACTATCTGGCAAAGGCTTAGTATGGATTCAGCACAATTTATCTCCAGACCAGTGTTTTCCAGTGCTGCATGTAAAGCAAGTTAGCTATCCACAGCAAATATGACAGCCATGCCAAATAAGGGAGAAGAGCCCTACAAGACCCACATAAACAAAACTGATGCCATCTTCCTCCTCTTGGGCCCTAGAGGGTAGACGCTCCAAACCCTTCTAACATCTGGTGAGCCTTTGCACCAGATATATGGGCCACTAAAGAGTATGTCTTGAAGCTGAAGCATGCTCCAAAGTTTATAATGTTTCCAGGAATCCACCAGAACAAATAACTGGTGGAGAAGCAGTTTGGCAGCTCTGTCAGATGTGAGTCATAAATTAGATTTCAGTTCCCCAGCAGGGTATGGACTAGTTTCCTTCATCTTATTCCCAATACGAAAAGGCCTGGGGCTTCTACTGTATAGAAAGCTGACACCTATCCTAAGCTGGCTACTATCCTAAGCACACTTACCTGGCAGTGAAAGCACTTTTACAAGTATTGCATGGTTCCTGTTGGCCCTAGTACATGTAAAATCTTCCACCTCCCTTGACATTGTAATTGGCATGCATGCAGTCTGTGTACTTCCAAAACGCCAGATAATGAACAGCTGCTAACTATGACTTTGTGGGCACCCTTGCAGCTGGAAGACTTTGCATGTACCAGGTCTCGCATGGGAACAACTACACGAGCAGCCCCAGCCATAATGTTCAAAATACAGGTGAAGACTAACTGAAATCAGTTTCTGATTAAATGTGGTTAGAATCAGCCTGCTTTGAAGTACCCACTTTCTATGCAGATTCCATTTGAGAGAAAACCAGCTGGTGGACCTAAATCATAAGGTACTGTGAAACTATAAATCCATGCATTATTTTGTTTAACACTAACTTCTGATTGTTGGCAGGGAAATTAACACAGCAACAGTGCACGACCGGATTAAAGTGTAGATATAGGTTTATTTAGGAACTAACATACTAGTAAAGAGGAGAGACAGAGATAGGGCCCTCCTAACTACATCTCTAGCTGAGAGAGAGGGAGACTGAGCGTGGAACTTCTATGAAGAAGGGGGAAACTGCCCTAAGAGCAGCAACCTGGAGACAGAGGAGGAATGACACTTAAAAGGAGAGAAGGTGCTGACCTCGCTATCCTATCTAATTGTCTTCTTGCTGCCCCCTTCGGGGTCTTCTTCTTTTCTTTGTACACCAGACATTGCCTTTGCCAACACTGATCTGATTGGATACACACACATGTACCATGCTCTAAACTGTAGTGGAACAAATCACAGTGCAGTGGTGCCTGAGCTCAACAGGGAGGACTGGGTGGGACATCTTTCAGCACCTCTCCACCCCCTTTATATTCTGTGCCTGAGAGGCAAGTTAATAGTTTACTAGAGCAATGTACACAACAGCTTTTGACACTCTGCTATCTCTGTTGTTATAACCTCATTACTAGTGATGGAAACCCAGCCTTGTGAATCTTGAGTAGATTATAAATTAAGCACATTTCTCTTTGGCTGAGATATAATAGATAATAAGCTTTTCCTCTGAAATGATCTGAATAAATTGGAAAGAATATATGAACTTGTAACATGGTGTGTAAAAGCAAGAATCGTTTGATTGTCTCATAACTTCCTGATTAAACCCTTTTTGTTACTGTGGATTAACATTAAAGCAAAACATTAAAGCAAAACCAGGGCTATTTTGCCCATGTACTCTTTGACAGATGCTGATACTAAGACATAATGTGAACCATCTCGAAAGAATATAATCATAAACACACATGTTCATATTGTTCAATCACTTTATTAAAAGAAACAAAAATCCAGATAGCAACTAGAACCCAATATATAATGCTAAAGTAAAGAAATAAAAAACAATAGAAACAGGGAGGAGTTGTGGCTCAGTGGAAGACCCTCTGCATAGCATGCAGAAGGTCCAACATTCAATCCCTGGCATCTCCAGTTACTAGCAGTAGATGATATGGAAGACCTGTACTTGACATTCTGGTGAGCTTCTGCCAGTCTGAGTAGACAATACTGACCTTGATGGACCAATGGTCTGGGAGATGAACAGTTTGTTTAACCATAAAGGACACATTGGAAACATGTCAGTCAGCCACAGTTAATCTGCTAAATTTGATTACATGTGATTAGCGATAATTAGCATATTATTCTGTTAACATAGCAGATGTCTGAATACAGTAGACATGTACTTCTACAACATGAAAATTAAAATCAGCCCTTGAAAAGTGTTTGTATCTGGTCATAGAACTCATAACTTTGGGCTTCTTAAAACTTGCTTAATTATTTCTGTGCCCCCCCCCCTTTTGTCATCCCATTTTCAAATTAGTTTCTGCAACATGAAGATGCTGAGTCAGTATTTAAAATGCTGGGATTTAAGGAGCAGAACCGCAGATCACACAAAAGTATTGTGGAGGCTTCTGGCATTCCGCCAACCATGTTGCCCACCACAGCTCTCAGCAACTACTTTCTTTGGCATTCTCCCCAAATAGTGGATGTCTTCACACTATTTCACTATACTATAGCTGCTTGTGTCTTTAAATTCAGCAAAAAACATCACATCATATATTCTAATGATTCAACACAATCCTATTACCAATTTGTATATAAATTGAGATCCCTTATTCCATCCCAAATAGTATCAGAGGCTCACCACCATCAAAAGTCTGATCAAGTCCATTGGTCATTATAGCTTTAAGGTCTGCAGTCCTTGCTGATTAAAAAAAAAAACATACAACAAATATTGTTCAGGGATGCTGAATTTTCCAAACTGCAAGTGCTGCTCTTTTCATGGATGGACTGAAAGGGGATTTTTTTTAACCTTCAAGTCTTTCTTGACCACAGAAATACTCTCAACCAATAAATGAATATAAAGTTTTTTGGTTTGCTTAATCGAGGCACAAATACAAACAAAGGTGGAAAAAAAGGTAAAAGTATCTGGGGCTGGTGAGAATACCTACTGCAGTTAGACAGGAGTCAGGTAGCACCTTAAAGACTCACAAAAGTTGTTTCATCATGAGCTTTCCTGAGTCAGAGCTCACTTCATCAGATACATAGAACTTTACATCCATGAGGCTTGGTTAAATACTCAGAAGAAGGCAGGGAGATGGGTATATAATTCCATGTCTTCACCTTGCATTCTGAAAAATGGTCTGTTCCACAGAAACTGTAATTCCCTTCTTGATTATATCGATATTCTACATGACAATAGGACGTTAACTTGCATCATTTTTTTTGTTTTGGTGATGAATGACTATACTTTCTTCTGAACTGGCTTCATAACATATCTGGCACTGATGTTGCTTCCTGACACACTACGATATTCTCCACATTCTGTCTTTGATTTCCCATTCTTGGTAATGGTTAGTTCCACAGGAACAGATGCAGTGACCATCCTCCTGATCACACGAATGTTGAGCTCTGAATGTGGTGAGATATTGGCTGGCATGATCACCTCAACTTTGTCTGTGGTGACAGTGGAGTCTATGCTTCCTTTTTCCACCAAGAGATTAGTACTTGGATCAGTGCTTAAGTAGAAGCTCTCATCTATTTTAAGACCAGAGGGTTTTAACTTGAAACTGTGGCTAGTGGCTGATTCATAGATTTTGCTGGTAGTGGTGGTAAATGTCTGCTCAAAATCTGTATTGTTAACACCTTTTATCTCATCAATCACTACTTCCCTCTCACTTTCTACTTTCTTGCTATCCCATAAGATTTTGGCTGTGATTGTGGCCCGACCACCTTTAAGGGGATACACGTGGGAACATGTCTTATTAAAATGAAACACAGATTCATAATTAGGAATTTTATCTCCTTCCCGAGCTACATATTGCCAGCCTTTTCTATTTCCATGTTCATACAAGAGCCAGACACCTTTCTGGACTGTATGGGAAGATGCCTTATCATTGAAATGCCCATAAGTCAGGTTGGTTTCCTCTGTTATTATTTTGCTTACCCCTTCAAAGTCTGGTTTGTTAAAAAGTGTAATCTGAGGATGTTCCAGGTCTTCACTCACTAGCTGGAGAGAAGAAATACTATCACTTTGGCTGATGTGGTTATATTCTCCTTCTTCATAGGCATGGGCCAGTCCTTTGTAGGCTGTGTCACTGAAGGCCAGCCATGGCTGCCCAATCACCTTGAGGGAAGATACGCAGTCTCCAAAGTCCACGCTGTGTAGGTCAGGAACATCTGAAGTAAATTCTTTACGGAGTCCTTTAAAGTCTTCCTGTTCGTAGACAATAATTTTATTCATCTTACGCTCTTTGGTGAGGAGCTACAAAGTAGGAAGCAGTTTTTCCTTTGTAGAAATTCACTCTGCCAGGAGAAAAGTCAGAAGAACACAATGAAACAAAAGCACACCTAGCAGCATTAACAAATTTTACAAATAAAAGGGGACAGGACAGGGGTTGCTTTGTATCAATGATGAAAACATGTTCTCAGTTTTCAGTCTTCCTAGTATTAAAACACTAGCCGCACAGTCCTCAGTAGTAGGTAGGGCTGTCAATGATCCAGAAGACACACACACACAAACACACACACAAACACCCATCCTGGGCAGTTTTTTGCTTTTGAGCAATGTGTCAGAAAAGCAAGGGGTAAGACTGCCTTTCTGACCCATTCTTCCCCAGCAGATATTTTTAAAGTTGTAAATAATCAGGTTTTATGCTGCTCTGTGTTTGCAGACCCACCAAAAACTGCTAGATACTTTGGGCCGTGTCCCCAGGCCCTGCCCACAATCTAAATGTTTTGTTTCCCACAGAGTTCAATTATGTACATTATTTTCTAGTAGATAGTTCAACCAACTGGGGAATAATTAAGACCCTCTTTGTTTAATGGCAGTTTCTTCTTCAGTAAGTGGGTGGTTTGTTTCTATATCGCTTCGAGACCTGCAGCTACTTCACCAGGTTCCTTGAAACTGAATGAGAAAATTAAGCAAAAACAATAATTTCTCACTAAAGAAATATCTCTGAGCCCAGTATACACCTCCAAAGGTCCTTTAAGTTGCAAACACTGCTTTTTTGTTCAGTCGCACAGTCGAGTTGGACTCTTTGCGACCCCATGGACCACATCACGCCAGGCCCTCCTGTCTTCCATCGTACTCCGGAGTTTGCTTAATTTCATGTTCGTTGCCTCAATAACACTGTCTAACCATCTCATCCTTTGCTGTCCCCTTCTTCTTTGACTTTCAATCTTTCCCAGCATCAGGGTCTTCTCCAGTGAGTGCTCCCTTCTCATTTGGTGGGCAAATGCTACCTCACAGTTTAAAGGGATGGAAGGAGAGGAGACTTGTCCTCTTGAAGCTCCTGCAAGGATTAGCTTAACTACCCCAAAACATGCACACATCTCCCATGATATTTTTTGCAAAACATATTTATGATTAGAGTGTTCTTCCACTTGTGTATAGTGGGTTTCGAAAAGCATCACAAAGATGCTGAGACAGACCAAGAACCTATGAAGATTATTTCTCTAAGATGTGGTAAATAGCACATGTACATGCCTCTATAAGTCCTAGTTAGTGAAAAGCACATACTAAAATAAGATGTCCTATAGCTATACCAGTTTTGAACTATAGGTCAGTGAACCTTCTGGTACCCTTGCAAACATTAATATACCTCATATTTTTCCCTGAAAAAGACTAAGACTTTTAATTACAACAAAATAAATATCACTTGTACTGACCTTAATATGCAATCTGTGCAACTGTCCAAGCTCTCTCAGCAGCCTAGAATTCCTATGACTCCTACTTGCTTTATATAAGGAGAGAATTCAATAAATATGAAACCAATTAAAATGTTTGTGAGGTTGCGCAGCCTTTCTATAAACATAGTTGCCAGGAAAAAGGCTGCAGATGAATGGAAGAATTTCAGGCCTGTCCAACCCACTAACTACCCAGAGACAGACTTTTAGCCAAAATTTCACCCTGATTTATGGATTCACTTCCTTCCCTAATCTGCATGAGATCTGGCAATCCACCATGTTTGCAACTTCTTCTGCTCTCAGGCATAGTTAAAGAACTGTTCAGTAGGAAAACCTGATGTCTCCTATTTCTTCTCTTTGCCATCACCTTTCTCTTGAGAGGAAGAGAGACAATTGGAAGAGAGGACAAGCTAAAGCAGCCATAAGAAGGAATGAGACACTCTTGATCCTGTTTTTGCGATGGCAGCCATAGGGTTGCCAGGTCTGGGTTGGAAAATACCTGGAGACTTTAGGGATGGATCTGGGAGAGTGGAGGGTTTGGGGAGGGGAGGGGCCTCATCATGATACAATGCCATAGAGTCCAACCTTCAAAGCAGCCCTTTTCTTCAGGGGACCTGATCTCTGTTAACTGCAGATCAGTTGTAAAAGTGGGAGATCTCCAGGCCCCACCTAAGAACATAAGAACACAAGAGAAGCCAATGTTGGATCACGCCAATGGCCCATCCAGTCCAACACTCTGTCACACAGTGGCCAAAAATACCAGGTGCCATCAGGAGGTCCAGCAGTGAGGCCAGGACAGTAGAAGCCCTCCCACTGTTGCCCCCCCCCAAGCACCAAGAATACAGTGCATCACTTGCCCCAGAGTCCCTATCTATACCTTGTGGCTAATAGCCACTGATGGACCTCTGCTCCATATGTTTATCCAATTCCCTCTTGAAGCTGTCCATGCTTGTACCCACCGCCACCTCCTGTGGCAGTGAATTCCATGTGTTAATCCCTCTTTGGGTGAAGGAGTACTTCCTTTTATCCATTCTAACCTGACTGCTCAGCAATTTCATTGAGTGCCCACAAGTTCTTGTATTGTGAGAAAGGGAGAAAAGTACTTTTTTCTTTACCTGCTCTATCTCATGCATAATCTTGTAAATCTCACTCATGTAAACCTTTGTAAACCATTGTAAACCTCAGTCGTCATTTCTCCAAGCCAAAGAGCCCCAAGCGCTTTAACCTTTCTTCATAGAGAAAGTGTTCCAACCCATTTATTATTCTAGTTGCCCTTTTCTGCACTTTTTCCAATGCTATAATATCCTTTTTGAGGTGTGGTGACCAGAATTATACACAGTATTCCAAATGAGGTTGCACCGTTGATTTATACAGGGTCATTATGATACCGGCTGATTTGTTTTCAATTCCCTTCCTAATAATCCCCAGCATAGTGTTGGCCTTTTTTATTGCAGTTATACACTGTCTCGACATTTTCAGTGAGTTATCTACTACGACTCCAAGATCTCTTGGTCAGTCTCTGCCAGTTTGGATCCCATCAACGTGTATTTATAGTTAGGATTTTTGGCCCTAATGTGCATCACTTTGCACTTGGCCACATTGAACCCCATTTGCCACGTTGACACCCACTCGCCCATCCTTGACAGATCCCTTTGGAGTGCCTCACAATCCTCCCTGGTTTTCACCATGTAATGATTCCATGTTTTGGTGTGTGTGTTCCTTTAAATGTTTAGTTTGACTGCAGTACTACAAGGAGGGGAGACAAGTGTATTTTGATTGGCTGATGACTGAGAGTGTAGGAGGAGGTGTTCTGAGAGGATTCTGTATGTGTGCCTATGAAGTGATTCTGTGATATGAGAGAGACAAGTATGGAAGAGTTTTGAAGAGAGTCTGTGTGACTCTGAGAGTTATGAAGGATTCTGTGTGTGAAGCTTGAATAGAGAACATAGTCTGTGTGACTATGGAATTCTGAGTCTAATTCTGTGTGAATAAGACCAACAGTTTAGTCTGTGTGACTAAGAGAGTTGATTCTGTTAAGTGTGAATAAAACGAAGAGACTAGCCTGTATGGCTATATATATGAGTATATAAGCCTGTCAGAGTGGGGTTTGGAGAATCAACAGGGATGCACTTCCCCTCTCACTCTCCTGGCAAAAGTCATTAGTCAAGGCAAGCAAGGCACAGTTTTCATCCCCAAGCCAGGCCTGAGTCCAGATTGAAATGGATCTATATAATCCATCTCCTCCAAGACCACCTGAAGCGGTATAGCCACCACCCACTCTATCACCCTTGCCCCAGGATGGAATATTAGCCACTAAGTGGTAGTTGTTTAGGTCATTTAGTCCAGGGATATCTTTTTCAGGAGGGCTCTCACAACCACCTCTTTCAAAGTGGTTGGAACCACACCCTCCCACACTTATCACCTCCTGGTCCAGTTAACCAACCCATCCTGGTGTGATACAATTAGCCACAAGGGGCAAAGTGCAAGCCTAGATGTGATGGGCACCCTTCTAAGCCGCTTGTCCATCAGCTGAAAATCATCCACAGTCTAGGATCAGACTGGGTTCTAAGAGCTTTCTGAGACTGAACTGATTCAGCTGTGCCTTGGTTGCCTTGACTAATGTCTTTTGCCAGGAGAGTGAAGTGGAAGTGCATCCCTGTTGATTCTCCAGGACCCCTCAGCAGCTTTCAGTACCACTTACTATAGTATCCTTCTGCATAGGCTAGTTGGGTTGGGAGTGGGGGGCACTGTGCTTCAGTGGTTTCTCTGTTACTTGACTGGCATGGTCTAGAAGGTGGTGCTTGGGGGGAATGCTGCCTGGCCCCATGGCATTTATGCTATGGGTCCCACAGGGTTCCATCTTGTTCCCCATGCTATTTTTTTTTAATTGAAAATTTTCAAATATTTTCATCAAGTACAATTAGGGACAGTATCACAAATAATGTCATGAAATACGTGAAACAGATCATTCAGCACAGTGTAGGAGATAGGATAAATTTAAACTTACAGTTAGTTAACTATAATTAACAGTACAGTGAAAAGTATCAGGAGGAAGCTGAACTGCTATCTGTTATAGTGTCATTGAGCATTCCATGACTTTGCTCTGCATGAGTTTGGAATTATTTAGAGATAGTTAGAGTCATTTGTTAGAGGTAGATTAATTTTAGCTGCACTGAGTTGTGGGGCTAGATTTCATTTGCTGAGATGTGTTCTAGGAACTGAAGCCATTCCTCCGCAAAACAGGATTCTTTAGGATTGATTTCCGAATGTTGGAGGTGGTCTGTAATCTTCTCCATGTAGGGGCTGAATGAGATTTCCCCCTGGAAGCAATTGAGGATTTGGCACCGACAAGAAGACTAGAAACTAGTTCCTGCCTAATTTTCAGGATGTCCAGATCTCTCCAAATGTCGAAGAAAACCAGTTCCGGTGAGGGTGGAATTGTGTAGCTTTCTATGTAGTTTTCTATGACAGGTCAGCACCACCAGCAGTGTGCGTAGGATCTTAACTCTCTGCATTTTTTCCAGCATGAGGGGTAGTGAGAGGAAGAAATTAAAGTGTGTTTTTTGGGTGAGGTACCAGCAGTTGAGAATTTGAAAGATTGGGGTTTTCTGCTGATAACTGGAGAAGTTATTAGAGGCGAGGACCAGGCGTAATTCCATTGTTCATCAGAGAAAGTAGCATTGCAGTCATATTGCCATTTTTGTTGATAGCCAAGTGGTCTATCAGTGTCTAGGTGGATGAGGGTATCATAAATTTTAGTAATCAAGCCTTTGAAGTTATGTTATGTTCTGTGGCATCCATAAACTCCTTAAAGTTACATAGGGGTGTGTTTTAGGAAGTTTAAATTGTAACATTGTATGGCTTAATTGGAGGTTATAAAAATGGGACTGGATGACCTATTTTTTGTTTCAGTTCCGTTTTTGGAACTGAAGAAAGAAATACCCGATAGGCGAGTCATGTCAGTGCATCTCCAGATGTTAGCTATTACTGTGTTGTTTCTGGGAGGAAACCAGTTTTGGTATAAGAATGATGAGAGTCTAGAAATCTCTGGTACCAGTTTAGATTTGAGATTATCCCAGGTCTTGAGCATAGCCATGAGGAAAGGATTGTGCCGAATTAGGGCAGGGCAGGTGTGAGGGTCATTCCATGGTCTTGGATGGTCATGGGATGGAGAAGTCCCCCTGCTATTTAACATCTACATGAAATGGCTGGGAGAGTTCATACGGGGATTTGGAGTGAAGTGTCACCAATATGTAGATGATACCCCTGCTACTATATTACAGGTGACTCGGGTGGGTCTGTGGAAGTCCTGAATTTGTGCCTGGAGAAGGTAATGGGATGGATGGGGGGCAATAAACTGAATCTCTGTTCAGATAAGACTAAGCTGCTGTTGGGCAATGGAGAAGCTGCTCAGGGACTGTGGAGCTATCCTTTTGTAGAGAGAGTTACACTCCTCCTGAAGGAGCAGGTTCATTGTCTGGAAGTGCTACCGGATCCTTGTCTATGGCTGGGGGTTCAGGTGTCCTCCCTGGCTCCTTGCACCTTTTATCAGCTTCATCTTATATGCCAGCTACAGCTGCTCCTCATAAAGTGTAACTGGCCACATTGATCCATACCAATGTTCCCTCTAAGCTGTGGAGTCTTGTGAGCAAAAATTCTACTCTGTGAGCTTCTGGTATTAAAGTTGTGAGCGAGCGGCTTGGCTGCTGCATAAATCAGTTTGCTCTGGAGCTGTCCTTCCTGAGCAAACACAAAAACGTGTGAGCCGGAGGCTGAAAAACTGTGAGCTAGCTCACACTAACTCAGCTTAGATGGAACATTGAGCCATACTCCAATCATATGCAAGTTAGATTGCTGCAGTGTGCTCTGTGTGGGGCTACCTTTGAAAACAGTCTGTTTGCCCCCACAGGCGTAATAACGAGGCGGACAACAGTTTGGATCAAACAAGGGCCACTTTATTAACTATAATTTATTAACAAACCGGCAAGGGAGCACTTCCTAGGTAGCGGAACAGATCAGGCAGGTGTCATGCTGACC